GCCGGTGAGAAACTTGGAGGCTCAGAGAGGTTAGGCCACTTGCCCAAACACAGCGAGTCAAAATGAAAATAGAAAACACTTTATTCATCCATCCCACAAACGACTGCCGAGTGCCTCCTGCTGCCCGAGGGCACCTTGGAACCATGGCCTCTGAACAGGCACCGTAAGGAAGTGTTCTGCCTCTGGGTTTGCCTCCCCCCGCAGACGCCCCACCCCCAGGCTCCTGCCACCCCTCTACAGGGACAGCTAACCAAGAAGGTTTGAACTGGGGGAATCTGATGTTGGGGTTTCTAGTGCCAGCAGGCACAGAGCAGGTTCACTGTGGGTTCCGGCAGACAGATAAAGGAGGGTCCCAGAGCCCTGGCGCGGGGAGGGGCAGGGGGAGGGCTTTTATGCTCTCTGGGAGCCAGGCACAGCAGGCCAGGCAGGGAGGCTGGCACGCAGGGAGGCAGACACGGGCCAGGCAGGGGATGCAGACGAGCGAGCCCCCCAGGCCCCCATGGAGCGCAACATGCTTGCCCTGGGCCCTCTCTGGCAGCCTCCCATGGTCTCGTAGCCGTCATCAGTCTGAGTGACCCCACCTTGCTGCTGGCCCCCACGCTCAGGTGTGCACACACTCATGACCGCACCCACACGCCAGGTGTCTGTGATCAGGCACACACGCCCCTCACCCTTGCTCCAGGTGCCTCCTGCCTCAACATGATCAAGGCCACAGGTGATAGCCACGGACGCTAACGGTATAAAAAGCCTGAGCAACTCCTGTACCCTGGGATCGTACAGGAGTCAGGAGGGGCAAGGTCAGAATTCTTTGCCCATGTGGCGTCCTCGTCCATCGGTTCAGCCAGACTGCTGGGCAGCCGGCTGCCTCCCAGGTGCCTCAGAGAGGGCGCCATACCTGTTTCTGCTCTCCCTGCACCTTCTCAGGGATATGGTAGGTGTGACCGCCTGAAGCTTGATGGGGGGAGGGTTCTTGCAGGGGGGCATTGGAAGCATTGCAGGATGAGATAAGTTGCTCAAAGTCCAAGCAAAGGGGCTACACCAGGAAGGAGTGTGCACCCCCACCACAGGCAGTCTCCTATTAGCACCAGGTACGAAGGTGGGCAGGTACTAGGGAGGATTTGTCCACAAGCGATTCAGGGAAATGACGAGAGTGACGCTAAGTTGTTTAAGACAGTTTAAGACAGGGAGGTGCTGGCTGGGAAGGGCGCTGTGTCACACAGAACAGTGCAATTGAGCTTAACTTTGCCGCTAGCAGAATTTGTCCTACATGCAGACTGGCCTTCTGGAAATGGACAGACATGCTAAGAGCGAATTTTCTAGAAAAGCAAAGCTTGGCTCCTGCAGATGAACTAACATGGTTAGCTGCAGCCTCAGGTGGCTCTGGGAGAATGATTTGCTCAACCCGCTAAGTAAATCCGAAGGGGCCAGCTCTGGGCGCTTGCCTGCACGTATTTTACAGCTGCTGCTGCCCCCTGCTGATGGAATTGGGACATCTCAGCCTGCATGCACTGGCAAGGCTTCGCTCCAGGCTCCACTTTACATTCCCAGCGCGCAGAAGGTGAGTCAGTCACATTTCCTCTGCCCTTTATGGAGACGGCCACCGCCAAGAACTGCATCAGTGGAGGCATAAACAACCAGGCCCACGTGGACAGTGGAAAACTGAACAGCAGAGGTCACTACTATGAGAAGGCAGTGTACCAGCAGGCCGATGGACACAATGCATTAGAGGAAAGTGTAAAATAGCCCTCACTGCAGCATATAGGTCACCCTCGGGGAGCCATTGCATCCCAGTGGTGGCTAATAAGAGCTGGTGTTGACTGAGCCTCACCCGCAGGGGTTTGTTCTAGACCCTTCACATGAGTTAATTCATCTGATCCCCTGCACCCACAGGAGCAGGAGGAGGAAACAGGCACAGGGCACTTAAGAGGCAAGCAGGGTTCAAATCCAGACAAAGTCCTAGTCCTTGGC